AGCTTGGGAATGTCCACACACAAAAAACGAAGAGACACAGTTGTAGTAGGAAAGTTCCGTGAACAGATAGGAGTCGAGCTAAGAGCAAGATGGAGTTAGAAAAGTCTTACTGTTTTACATGGTCGATGAGGTGGTCCTGGGTACAACCGACAAGGGCACACGCCGATGGTGAAGTGACTTTCTAAGTTCGGCTAAAACCGAGGTTTTTTATACCTTTGCCGAGGAGGGAGACATGCGAGAATTTGGACTTTGAACGGGTCCAAAGGGCGTGGGGCGTCTGCGCTATTCTGCACCCTTTGACCTTGATGGCAACGACTTGCCAAATTCCTCTTTAGGGTTGATTTCTATCTCGATCTCTTGCTTAGCTCAGCTCTTAATCTATTACATAGTTTTATTTATTCATCCTCAGTTTGTACAAAGTACATTACATATGGTGATGCAATGACACATGTCAATCATGCGTATAATTATTTATAGATGTGTTTCTATATACAACATGACAATATTGTTATAATTATTATACAATATAGGGTTGTTGGTTTAAATTACCATATATATATTGTGAGGTATCCAGTCGACTTAATCTATGCTGTGAAATCCTGTCGACTCTCGCTATACTATGTTGACCGAGAGGGACAGTCAGGGTGTGGAGAGTTTTCCAGTACCTCTCTGCACCTTGGAAGACCTTTAACAGTTCTCACAGAGTACAGGCAGTCGTGGTCAAGGCAGAGTGGAAGACTTGGGAATTTCACACAAAAAACTAAGAGACACTGTTGTACTAGGAAAGTTCCGTGAACAGATAAAAGTCGAGCTAAGGAGAAAGATGGAGATTTGAGAAAAGTTCTTACTGGTCTACAAGGTCGATGAAGTGGACCTTGGGGACATCTGACGAGGGCTCCCGCTGATGGTGAAGTGACCGTGTATTTCTGGCCCTGTTGGAGGCTTATATATCTTTGCCGAGAGGAAGTAATGGGTTTCAGAGGTTGTAATAAGGACGTGGATCAGAAGAGATGTCATTGTACACTGGCAACGCCCTAATATCTTCTACATCTTTTAAGTCTCGTTTTTAGACGTTGTTGGACTTCTACCTCAATCTCTTGCTTTAGCTCAACTCTTAATCTATTACAGAGTTTTATTTATTTACTAGACGAATGGCCCGGGCAACGCCCGGGGTTTACCCGAGTGCGAATATGTCTATTGTCTATTGTCTACACCTTGTATACATCTTGCTTCCTAGGGTTGCCTAGAGTGGCCGCTATAGACAGGGTGGTCTGTATAGGCAGGTGGATGTATCACACAGCTGATAATAGGGTTGCCTAGAGTGGCCGCTATAGACAGGGTGGTCTGTATGGACAGGTGGATGTATCACACAGCTGTAGAGTGGTCGCAATAGACAGGGTGGTCTGTATAGACAGGTGTATGTATCACACTGCTGATAACAGGGTTGCCTAAGGTGACCGCTATAGACAGGGTGGTCTGTATAGACAGGTGGATGTATCACACAGCTGATAACAGGGTTGTCTAGGGTGGCCGCTATAGACAGGTATATGTATCACACAGCTGATAACAGGGTTATCTAGAAATGCCGCTATATACAGGGTGGTCTGTATAGACAGGTGGATGTATCACGCTGATAACAGGGTTATCTAAATGGCCGCTATATACAGGGTGGTCTGTATAGACAGGTGGATGTATCACACAGCTGATAACAGGGTTGTCTAGGGTGGTCGCTTTAGACAGGGTGGTCTGTATAGACAGGTGGATGTATCACACGGCTGATGACAGGGTTGTCTAGAGTGGTCGCTATAGACAGGGTGGTCTGTATAGACAGGTGTATGTATCACACAGCTGATAACAGGGTTGTCTGAGGTGACCGCTATAGACAGGGTGGTCTGTATAGACAGGTGGATGTAACACACTGCTGATAACAGGGTTGTCTAGAATGGCCGCTATAGACAGGTGTATGTATCACACAGCTGATAACAGGGTTGTCTAGAGGGGGGCGGGCAGGGAGGTCACGTGTTTGCTGGCAGCCAATGGGCGCGCATTCTATCCGTGAGCTTCAGACAGACAGACAGACAGAATAAGGCAAATATATAAGTAGATATTCAGTTTGTACAAAGTACATTACATATGATGATGTAATGACATGTCAATCATGCGTATAATTATTTACAGAAGTGTTTATTGTACAACATTAAAATCTTGTTATATTATACACCAATATAAGGTTGTTGGTTTAAATTACCATATATCAATATTTTTATCTGCCATTCCATAAACAGAGTAATTCTTTAGATTCTAATTATTCGGAATATTGTGATGATCACTATTTAAATGATGAAATTCTTAGGATTTTTCAGAAATCTATCTTTCTAAGGTTCTAACCTGTAATTCTTGATAAGTCAAATATATTCTGTTTTTAGAATTACAGTGAGCGAGATTGGACACTAGGAAGAAGATGGAAAAGTCTAAGGTTACTGGTATGTTTACTGGACCTGAACAGTTAGAAGAAGATTTTGGAACGATAAAAATGGAACAGAACAAACAACAAGGAACAAGGAACTGTTGAATCATTGAAGGATCAAATATCGGAAGATTTTTCGAAATGGTAAAATGGAGAACAGAACAAATACCAAGGAACAAAGAGAACGTTGAATCAGTGATATATCAGACATCAGGATGAGTCTGAACAGTAAAATGGAACAGAACAAACAACCAGGAACAAAGAGAACGTTGAATCAGTGAGATATCAGACATCAGGATGAGTCTGAACAGTGAAATGGAACAGAACAAACAACCGGGAACAAAGAGAACGTTGAATCAGTGAGATATCAGACATCAGGATGAGTCTGAACAGTGAAATGGAACAGAACAAACATCCAGGATGAGTCTGAACAGTGAATTGGAACAGAACAAACAACCAGGAACAAAGAGAACGTTATATCAGTGAGATATCAGACATCAGGATGACTCTGAACAGTGAAATGGAACAGAACAAACAACCAGGAACAAAGAGAACGTTGAATCAGTGAGATATCAGACATCAGGATGAGTCTGAACAGTGAAATGGAACAGAACAAACAACCAGGAACAAAGAGAACGTTGAATCAGTGAGATATCAGACATCAGGATGAGTCTGAACAGTGAAATGGAACAGAACAAATAGCCAGGATGAGTCTGAACAGTTAAATGGAACAGAACAAACAACTAGGAACAAGGAGAACGTTTACTTAGTGGTACATCAGACATCCAGATGAGTCCGAACAGTAAAATAAACCAGAACAAACAGCAGGAACACAGTGAATGTTGAACCAGTGGTGTACTTGATATCAGGAAGAGGCGCGAGCAACACTAAAATGGAACAGGACAAACAACCAGGAACAAAAAGAACGTTGAATCAGTGGTACATCACACGTCAGGAAGAGTCCAGAGCAGTAAAAGAGAACAGAGAAAACAAATAGCAACACAGAAAATGTTGAATTAGCGGTGCACTAGATATCACACACAAATCATTTATTAAGATACCAGTCTTATACAGATTCTCCTCTCTTATTACCGGATTGCAACGATATCTTCACGATTATCAATCACCATGCTAGATATCATGAAGAGGCGCGCGCAACACTATAAAATGGAACAGGACATACAACCAGGAACAAAGAGGACGTTGACTTAGTAGTGCATCACACTTCATGAAGAGTTCAGAACAGGAAAATGGAACAGAACAAACAACTAAGAAACTGTTAATACGAAAGAAGAAGCAGAAGAGTGTATTCTGCGAAGAGTCAGTTTTAATCTAAATGTAGATCCGGATCGACCTCGAAGACTGAAATATCTTCTGCTCCAGACAGCTTCTTTGTGTTGTTGTCGGAGATTTCTGTCCTTTGTCAGAGTACTTACTCTCCCTTCTCTTTATTTTCCCATTTGCCTCCAGAAATAACTGAAAATGGCGGCTAATACCAACACCCTTAGGACGGATGGAGGGAACATCCTAGAAGCAGATGGCCACCAAGACCTTTCGGTCCATAAGCCGATATATTGTGGACATCCTAGGAGCAATATGGCCACCCAGACCTCTCGGTCCATAAGCCGGGCCTTTTTCAGTCACCTAGCCAAGGGAATGATGCATTCTCCATGCACCGAGCGGCCATTTGGTTTGGCCCCTCGCGCCCGCCTTTATGGTCTAGCTCCATGGGGTCGACCAATCAGCCCACAGACGTCTACGATAGTTTCATAGCCAGGTTGCTGTCCGAGCCCTCCCGTTTGGACTTGGTTAAATATTTGTTATATATTGTGGACATCCTAGAAGCAGATTGCCTCCCAGACCTTTCGGTACATAAGCCGGATATATTGTGGACAGTTATTCTCAATAAACATGAAATATTTGGCGTTTTCTTAAGAAACATCCCATCAAACAAAATGGTCCTATATCTTCACTCGTCGTCTCCAGTGAGCTCTCTCTAGACCAGAACAATGTGTGAACTAGACTTGTAAAGAGCCAAACAATTCCAAGATACTCTTTATCACTAATTCTTTTACTTTAACCTTTCTTAATTTCAGAAATTATTTCTCTTTTTTTTTAATGTACGCCAGACGTCAAGATAATCTTCTATATATAAACGATGTTAAGTTGATGAATCAATCAAAATCTTTATTAAGATCTTTTAATCGTATGTACATAGATTCTCCTGAGAGATACAGCAAATGAGTAGAGAAAATAGAGAGAGAAAGAATATACAGAGTTGAATATTTACCATTCACACCATGGTAACATGGCGACAGGAATTTTAGAACAGTATGAGTACACATAGAACATGTTAATAATATAATCTCTTCAGTAAAATGATAAATTAAAGAGAATTTTGAATGTATATCTCTTAAGATGGAGAGAGAAACTCTTGTTTCTCTGAGATAGGCCGCCTTCACCGTAAAAGCGCTTGTATATGGAAATTTGACGCCTCAAGCGTATCTGTGAAAAAGAGGAATTCTCAGAGAACGTCTAAAAGGTTCCAATAAGTGGACATGGCACCTGCCCGGTAAGCAGAAGGTTGTGGGTTCGATTCCCGCCCCTGGACACTTTTATTTTTCCGTTCGCCATTACTCTTCATATTTTCATCCTTTCATACGTCATCCAATTATATATAGACCATTACGCTTCATATTTCTACCCTTTCATACGTCATTCAAAAAAGTTAGAAATACTTGATATTTCTCTTTGAAATAAAATATTGATTTTTCATAGAAAAGAAACTTATGCGGTGCAACTTTAAGTATTGTTTATAATAAAAGAAGTGGTGATTCAAAGTGACTTGGAATGTGCAGTGGTGGTATAAGTTTTCAGCAGCGTAATTATACCTGTCGAAGATCTGTTGAGCCAGAAAACTTGTATTATCGTGATAAAAAGAACCTCTTCCCTCAGAGAATTTTCTTTCATTTCACACACACAAAGCCTTTATTAAGACCCCATTGGTCTTACATAGATTCTCCAGAGTGTAGGCAACAATGATCAGGATGAGTGGAGTTTTATATGTACAATATTACATGAAATGCAGTAAACATCATGGTCTAACAAAAAAAGAAAAAAAAAAGAAAAAAAAACAATGGTTGCCTGTAAAGTCGGTTTTACGGGCGAAGATTTTACGTGACAACGGTAGAATATTTATTGATATGAATATAATTAAATTGCACAATAGGAACAAGGAATTGAATGAAAATAAGAATTGCACAAATTTTAACTATAGAAATATATTTTGTTTACTAAAACATTGTACATGTAAACTTAAACTTAACTAATTCCTATTTGAGTGATTTTGTTGAGGATAGGACGATGATAGGAGAAATATGAAATGAAAGGAAGTGTTTCTGCTGTAATGTGTCTTGCGAAAGTCAAGTCGATAGTTGTTCCTTTTAACGTAGTTGACTTAGAAACGTTTGATACGCAATCAAGATTATACGTATTTTTCATGAAATTAAGAAACGAGTTGTCAGGCTTTACGTTTTTGTTAAAATCACCACACAGAAGAATCGGTATACTAGAATCAACTTGCACGAACGGTGGCACGTACTGGCTGTTGTGAATGTACGGACCGAGTCCTTGCCATAGTAACATTCCAATATCCTGCATACTAGCTCCTGGATGAATATATACAGCACCGAGTATAAACTTGAAGCTAGTATTAGCGGCGAAGCAAGTAACTTCAGTCATGCACATGTCACCCTTGGTTTTAATGACACGAGTTACGTCTGTAATCGCAACTTGGAACACTTCCGCCGTAGATGTCGATGATAATTTACGATAGATCGCCACTCCACCAGCCGCGTTGGTATTTGAAAATCAAAACACTTATTCAGATCGAAGGTTCAATTTTTGCTAAATAAATTTGAAATTAAATAAAATTTGTAATTGTAAATGATGAAGTTGAAAATTAAAACATTTACTTAAATTAGATGTTAAAATTCTTGCTCAACACAGTTTAAATAAAGTTTTCTTATATCTGCCACTTTTTCTTAATATTTGTAATTTTAAAGAATCAATTCGAAAATCAAAACATTTATTCAGATCGAAGGTTCAAATTTTTGCTAAATAAATTTGAAACTATTTAAAATTTGTAAAATAATAATTAATTAATTAATTAATTTTAAAATAATAATTTACTTAACACTATCAACATTTATCAATAGTATGACATAACCTATAAACTCAGTTTCTCAACTTTTGTGTCAATCTAACAATTAATCAATCAATCATAGTTTACGATAATGAAATATCAGTGTACAATTATTTACCTTTATTGTTGTAGTTGTTGTAAATGACGAATCTAAGCACTCCACATTTTCACTACAGACACAGCTGACGATACTTTAACCACACGTGTGAACTTGTATTATGACGCTTTCTTGTTTTTCCAACGCCAAGAACGTTCGAGAAAGACAAAGACAGAGACAAGCATGCGCCGATTCAATGCGCCTAATTCTCTAGTGCTGCGCGCGCAGCACTCTCGTTCGGTGACTCATCGTAACGTTACCGGGCGTTACACTTTTTCATAAGTGACTCCCAGCCGCAACCTAATTTAAGACGTTGTCACGTCAAAAGGTTTTGAAGATTAATTATCATTATTATAATGGAAATACTAATGTATCAGATCCGCTTTCTTCATAACTCTTCTGAAGAAATTTTATATACAGATAAAGCAATATGTCGTCTATCAGACTTGATAGAAGAGAGTGTACGGTGAAGGCGGCCTATCTCAGAAACAAGAGTTTCCCTCTCCGTCTTAAGAGATATACGTTCAAAATTTTCTTTAATTTATAAGTTTACCTTTGCCGGTTCCAAGCCCAGATAAAAAAGGAGGAGGGGGAGCAGTAACAAGCTCGCTAAAAAACCTGGGTTCAGCTGGCCCGGCTGATAGTACCCTGTAAAGGCTCCTGATCCAGGAATACAGGATGAGTAGCGTTTGTACTCCATGTTAGGAGCGGTTGTACATGGCGTCTGTTCCTCATGTCAGAGGAGGCCATTTATTTTGGAGCTAAGTCGGCCTGCCACTGAGTAGTGCTCCCAGTCGTAATGACAAAGTCATTCTACTTCACCCAGTCATGATGGTTGTCAAACAGACACCATCAAGGGTCACAACTTGATCCCCTAATATGATTGAGTGGAGATAAGGAAGAATAAGACCGAAGAGAATATATTATTAACATGTTCCACGTGTACATATACTGTTCTAAAATTGCTGTAATCACATCACCATGGTGTGAATGGTAAATCTAGCCAGGTGGGACGTCATGTCTTCTGATTAGTTTCAGACACCTAGAACTTCGCCTGGTTATTTCCATGAGATCTACAAGAATTTGTAAATTAAGTTTACTGTGAAAAAAAGTACAAATGTGATATTGTACTGGGATAAGGTGCACAAATTATGAAAAAGGCATCTCCTTATCGTACAACTGAAAGTTGCTGATGGCTTGCGTAAACTATTGGAATAAATATCAACTATGATCAACAATAGTTGTTATTTATTCTGATAGATGGCGCAAGCCATCAGCAAATTTCAATTTCACGATAAGGAGATGCCTTTTTCATAAGTTTACTGTGCAATAAATTGATAAAGAGAGAGCAATCTCTCGAAATATTTTGAGAAAATTGTTCTTTTTTCTTTACAGATCCAGGTACGTCCTTTTATACAAACTTATTTGATGGATTGTATTTAGACTCAAGCAATTTACTATCCAGTTTGTATGATTATGTGACTTTGAATTGTTTGGTTTTACAGATGTTTCTATTATAGGGTGAATATTAATAGTGACAGTTATATTTTATAAGAAATTGCACTTTATATATTTAGATATCTTTAAAAGAAAAATAAAAGATACACAACTTTATGCTACTATAATTATTTTGTTGTTTCACAATTCTTGTACACATATACACATTGGAGACACCGGTTATGTAAATTTCTTTTTGATTATTCAGACAAAAGATTTACATATTTGTAAATATAATTGTGTATATAAGGATGTGAAAGTTTAATAAAAGTGTGTCAGTAACAATCAGGTGTTGGTGAATTATTAGTGTCATCAGTGTGTTGTGGGCACTTTTAAGGAAGCATATAGGCTTCAATTCGGTTGGAGACCAGAAGAAGTCTGGCAAGAAGATACAGAAGCTCTGCCACAACTATTTAGATAAGGCCAGACATATCCAGGATGCGGCAAGCTCTCCGAGCTTAGTAAGTGAGGCAGTGATCATATCCGAAACACACTTTATAAACAAAGCCTTTAATAATGATGATGATATACCTTTGATTTATTTCGAATCAAAACAAGAGTAAAGTAATAATATATCACTGATATATTATCTTTAAACAAAAGATCAACAGACAGATATCAAATGATAAGGAATCGCTACTGAATAAACTTCATTGTAACTAGATGGTCATATAAAAAATGTCAATTTAAAACAGAACTCAGGTTCACATCTGTTTCAACATAACCTCCCCCATACTTCCGGTTGCCAGTATTAGTAGCCACAGGAAGTGACGTCATCCCGGATAGATCGGAAAGATTGATCCAATCACGATGAAGAAATGATCACAACCAATCACTTTGTTGTATGTAGTTGCTATGTAGTCAATTGTAAGTATTCATAATTGGTTTCTATGGCAAAACGTTCAAAACGAAAGGTTTTACTATTAGTTACTAAGTGTTAATAATAATAAAAAAAAAAAAAACAATAGAAAAAAGCACATGGTCTCTTGGTCAGGATATGCTTTCTTTATTTTTAGTATTAATAATGTACGGATGGTGATTTCATTGATTTTGAATCCATTTAGATCGGTGGTTTACATCATCGATGTTGTACACTGCACCATCTATAGGTGAAATTTGCAAACTTTACCATCATTTTCAACGTCCATTATTTTTTAGAAAAGGCAAATTTCTACAACTATTCGCAGCAGAAGATGAGCATACTTTCTTGTATATCCCATTTTTACATAGAGCGTGCGACTGTGTTGAAATGTGTATTTGAAAATAGAACAAAATTAGGTAGCAAAAATAATTAGAATCCTAGGTCAAATAGTTTATTTTTTTGATTTACAAAATAATTCAATGAGGAATTAGTCAGCAATCATTATAGTTAAACTAAAATTAGTCGTGCTGAGCCTACAAAACTAGACATTTGTTCCATCCACAAGTTATAAAAGTATTTGAAGTACACCCAGCAATGGTGGCACAAAAAGCGGACAAGAAGTACACCCAGCAATGGTGACAGAAACAGTGGACAAGAAGTAGATCCAGCAATGGTGGCAGAAACAGTGGACAAGAAGTACGCCCAGCAATGGTGGCAGAAACAGTCGACAAGAAGTACACCCAGCAATGGTGACAGAAACAGTGGACAAGAAGTACGCCCAGCAATGGTGACAGAAACAGTGGACAAGAAGTACACCCAGCAATGGTGGCACAAACAGTGGACAAGAAGTACACCCAGCAATAGTGACAGAAACAGTGGACAAGAAGTACACCCAGCAATGGTGACAGAAACAGTGGACAAGAAGTACACCCAGCAATGGTGGCACAAACAG